ATACAAAAACCAACCAGGTGTGGTGGCGCACGCCTTTAATCCCAGCACTCAGGGAGGCAAGAAGACCTCTGTGAGTTTGAGGACAGCCTGGTTACAAAAGAATTAAAAAATTAAATCCCTGTGACCTTGTTTAAAGGGTTTTTGTTTTACTTTACTCTGGGGTGTTTTGCCTGTGTGTGAGTGCACCACGTCCATGCAGTGCCCATAGAGGCCAGAAGAGAGTGTGTGATGCCCCAGTACTGGAATTATAGAGGGTTGTAAGCTACCATGTGGGTGCTGGGAACCGAACCTGGGTCCTCTGCAAGAGTAACGCCTACTCTTAAGTGATGAGCTGTCTTTCCAGCCCCAGTTCTTTTTTTTTTCCATGATATTTACTGAGCTCTACATTTTTCTCTGCTCCTCTCTCTGACTTCTTCCTCCCCTTCAATCTTCCTCCAAGGTCCCCGTGCTCCCAATTTACTCAGGAGATCTTGTCTTTTTATACTTTCTATTTCCCATGTAGATTAGATCTATGTAAGTCTCTCTTAGTGTCCGCATTGTTGTCTAAGTTCTCTGGTATTGTGGTTTGTAGGCTGGATTTCTTTGCTTTATGTTTAAAAACCATCTATGAGTGAGTACATGTGATAATTGTCTTTCTGTGTCTGGGTTACCTCACTCAAAATAATGTTTTCTAGCTCCATCAATTTTCCTGCAAAATTCAAGCTGTCATTATCTTTTTCTGCTGTGTAGTACTCCATTGTGTAAATGTACCACATTTTTTTAAACCCATTTTTCGGTCAAGGGGCATTTAGGTTGTTTCCAGGTTCTGGCTATGACAAACAAAGCTGCTATGAACATAGTTGAGCACATGTCTTTGTGGCATGATTGAGCATCCTTTGGATATATACCCAAAAGTGGTATTATTGCCAGCCCCAGTTCTTAACTCTGCATGTGAGCTCCATGGGGCACAAACCCAGGCCTTTACTCCCTCCTGCAGTCCTTCTCTGTCTGTTTTTCACGGTAGGTAGTAGACAGACCAGGTTCTGAGTGTTTGACCTGGATCTTGGGTTCCCAAGGCCTGCAAGCAGCTGGCCTCCCCTGAAGCTGCCTGTGCTCCTCTACAGAGTCCCTGGATGCCCACCAAGCTCCTGCTCAGACCCTGAATGAGACCCAGAGGGCACTGGAGAGCTTGAGGTTGCAACTGGGCTCACAGGGAGCCCTGCATCACAAGCTGAGACAGCTGGAGCAAGAGTCTGCTCGGCAGGAGCTGCAGATCGAGAGCTTTGAGAGTGACCTCGCTGAGATCCGAGCTGACAAGCACAACTTGGAGACCATTCTGAGCAGCCTACCAGAGCACTGCGCCAGCTAGACCTTGGCACCCCCTCCCCACCTTGCTGTTACCTGCCCACTCTCCAGCTGTCCCAGGTCTGCCTGCTGTGTGTGCATGTGAATGACCACACTCCCTTGCTGGTATGTCCAGATCCTCTTCAGTGTGAGCGGCAAGAGTTAGTACATGCTCACGACTCCACAGGTGGCCCTGTGTGTGGCTCACAGTGTGTGCTCCCTGCACAAGCATCAGCTCCTCCCCTCAGTGTGTGCACCCTGCACACACATCAGCACACACCGCCTCAGTGTGTGCTCCCTGCACACGCATCAGCACCCACCCTCAGTGTGTGCTCCCTGCACACGCATCAGCACCCCCCTCAGTGTGTGCTCCCTGCACACGCATCAGCACACTCCTCAGTGTGTGCTCACTGCACACGCATCAGCACACCCCCCCCAGCATCAGTAAGAGGCATGTAGTTTACGTGTGTGTGTAATGCACTTGTGTGTTCAGAACCGTCTGTGCATAAACACACATGACAGTCCAGCGCTGTCAAGAGGCAGCTATGAGCTGGGTGAACCCTGTTATGAGAAATCCTATGACATATCAACAGCCCTCCCTCCAGAGAGTAGAACTCAAACAGCAGTGGCACCCCCAAGGCTGAGAAGTTATCCACAGAGACCCATACCCATGGTCACAGAGCTGGCCCTGGGCCTACTGTGCTCCCATATCGCCCACTGGTCCCGGTCACCAGCAACTCTGAGAACTGAGGTGCCAGGCAGATCGAGAAAGGCCAGAATTCTAACAGGATCCTCAGAAATGTCATCCAAGGCCGTGGTGTGGCTTGGGAGGCCCACAGGGCAAGGCACAGATGTTATTGTCTTTTGTGGACTCATTCCCCCAGGGATCTGGGTCTGCAGCAATCTCATGGAAGGAAGAGCCTATTCAGACCCATCCTCCTCAGTCCCCTGATCTACCTGAAGAACCAGGTTCTTCAGGGGCTGGGTCATGAGGCCTCAAGTAGGCACTAGGAATGGCCCTTGGTGCCCTGTTGACCTGGTTAGCCTTTGATTGACTTTTCTCAAACCGGTCTTGTGACCCCACCTGCCATGAAGGAAGCCATAGGGGTGTGGAAGCCTGGCTGTCATTCTAGGCCTGTTGCCCATGGCTGCCTCTACCCAGCAACCCCTGGCATTTCTTCCTGATGTTCCCTGTCTTTTTCTGGGCCCTCTCTTAGTACACAGCAGGGCCTAGGCACTGGGATAATAACCACATTTGCCAGCCCCGCCCCTTCCCCTGGTCCCAGAGGAACTGATGGAGATGTGAACCAATTCTGATTATGAGAAAATAAAGGACCCTTTTCTGAGCCTGATGCTGTGTCTGATCCTCCAGTGCTGGTGGGCAGCCAGAGCTTCCTGTGGGTATGTGGCTGGCACAGCAAGTAGGTAGAGCCTACATTTATAATCTCCAGATGTGGGGAGCAAGTTGGCAGAACTGGGCCCATGACATGCCAAGGTCTGTCGTGGTAGGCTTTGCAGGGGCCATATGATCACCCCATGTCCTCTCAGATCCAGGGGGCTTTCAAACAAAGGCTAGAGGCAAAGAGGTCTTCAACTGATTCCTGATTCAGGATGAAATGCTGAGGCAGGAACCTGAACTTAAAACTGTCCAGTAGCACTGCAAGGAGCAAGGAAGGACACCATCATGTTGGAGGAAGGCTTTCCTCTCGGCCTAGAAGGGTGGAGGACAAAGGAGAGAATATCCCAGATAAGAGGATGGGCAGCAGCCAGGGCTGCAGGGCAGGGGCCTGGCCAGCCTAGGTCACTGTAAACCTAGGTTAAGGTTATGGCAGGTTGTAAAGCACACTCTAGTCTACCAAAGCTTTTAGCCTCAAAGCCAAACCAATTCCCAAATTAGCTTCAACAGAAAAGTGGAGGTCCTCGGAAGGGTAATTTGGAATCTTGGGCTAGGAAAAGCTGCCAGGCTATAGAGAAGCCTGGAGATTGGAGCTTGGGGCTGCCATGGTGGGCAGCTTCTTCCTTTTGCCTCCTTTCTCAGTCCCAGCTCTGCTGCCTCTACTTGTTAGGTCTGGTTCTGCAAACCAGCTTTCCTTTCTTTTCCTTTTGTTTTTCCTTTCTTTTTTCTTTTCTCTCTTTCTTCTTTCCTTCCTTTCTTTTTTTCCTTTCATTTTCTTTTTGTTTGTTTGAGACAGGGTTTCTCTGTGTACCCTGGCTGCCTTGGAACTCGCTCTGTAGACCAGGCTGGTCTCAGACTCAGAGATCCTCCTGCCTCTGCCTCCCGAGTGCTGGGATTAAAGGTGTATGCCACCACTGTGGATACGCAACAGTCTTTCTTGAACCTGATGGATGATGACAATGTACATCCCCTCGCCAAAGCCCTGGGCTTGCCTATCATCAGGTTATTATTTTTATTTTGATATTTTATTAATTTTTATTTTGTATGTATGTGTGTTTTGCCTGCATGCATGTCTGGGAACCATAAATGTTCTTAAGATCCTCTAGAACTGAAGTTATAGACAGTTGTTAGCTGCCATGCGATTATTGGGACCTAAATCCAAGTAGACAAACAGACAATTCTTTTACCTGCTGAGCCAGTACTCCAGCACTAGGTCAAATGTTTGAGTGGTCAGGCCTCCAGCATGGTCAAAATAACAGGGACTCCTGGTCCAAGGCTTTATGATGAGGCATGCCCTACACCTCCCTCCTGGAGTTATGGGGGAGGTGGGGCCAGTGTTCAGAGGAGAGGCACATTCCTCCAGAGAGAACTTTAAAATCAGGGTTAAGGTGAGGTTGATGTGGTAGGTGTTTTAAGCTGAGTGGGACTGACTTGGTGGGTTTGCCAGGGTCGGGGTAGAAGGCTGAAGATAGGCAATTGGGTGCATAGTTCTGGTGTATGTGATGCCAAGGAAATGGGACAGGATCTGACATGCCTAACTCCATTTCTCGGCTGATAGATGTTCAACCCCTACCCACTTGAGCCACGATGCACAGCAGTACCCAGTCCCAGCATTTCCAGTGGGTGGAGACTTCCTCTCCATTCCTGGGTGACAAGTCTCAGGCCTGACATGTGACTCATGCAGCATGGTCATGCCTGGTGTCTGCAGAGCCAATCGAAAGCCCAGAGGTGGGGCTGCTCATAACTGGGTGGAATGTAGCAGCAGCTGAACATCTGGAGAACTCGGGGTGGCCGCTGCCCTATCCCATGGAACAGCCAGGAACAGCTGTTGTGTACATGTAAGTCTCTTCTGAGGTCAAGGCATCCTATCCTGCAGGGGAGCTCCAAAAGCAAGGAACTAAACAACCGAAAATAATAGCTTCAAGAACTCCCTGAAACTGACCAGACTCACTAGGCCCCTTCCTGCCAGGGTAAGCAGACCCCACAGCAAAGAAGACTCAGAAACAGGAAGAGCTGCCTGGAAAAGGTTAGACCAACTGAGGTACCTGGAAAGGGCACTCTCCCTGCAACCTTATTGAGCCATCTGCAGCTGGCAGTGTGCTCCAGGTTCCCAGCTTTGTAAGCTGTCACCCATGCTGCAGTGGGCTTTGGTGACACAGCTGTCTGTGAGTCACTTCTGCTCCTGTCAGTAGCCCTTCACCCATATTCCTGTAAGTAGCCCCAATAAAACTCATTGGCTCACCAAGTTGGACTTTGGTGGTATCCATACTTCAGTCTGTCCGGGGTTCCCTGAATTGGGTGAATAGCTATGTTAGGCACATGTGTTGCGTCTCCCCAAGGGAAGTTTTGGAACACAACAACAGCCAAGCCAACTAGCTGGGGCGATAGGCAGTCTGAGACTAGACCAGCGAATGCCCTGTTCTGAGTCCAGTTCCTGCCCGAGCTTCCAGAGAGAGCACTACCATGTAGGCTTTGACTTCCCACTTTACACTCCACAGTCCCTGCTCCTGTTTCCCATATTCTCCTCAACGGGGAGCGTGGGATGAATGAACGGGCAGAGGGGAGTAACTTAGGAACAGGGATCCCTGTCCTCTGAACATCTTTGCTACCGTTAGCACCATCTCATTCTGTCTGGCCCCTCCCTGTGTGAACATGACCCTGTCTGTTTATCCCCTAAAAAGGGACAGTCATCTGGCCTCAGGATCCCAATCTAAGGAGTCCAGACCTGAGACAGTCTGGGGAAGGGGAATTCCTGGACCAATCCCCAGAGACGTACTGGAGGTGGTGGTGTCTCCTTCCCTTCGCCGCCGGGACAATCTTGATTATGTGCCTGTGTCCACAATTGAACAATTTGACCGATACCCTTTCTCTAGAAGAGGTTCGGACTGGACACCGGAATGCATGGTCTTTTTCTTTGTAAGTCTGCAGTTCTTGCATCCATAGCCTGGCTTCATCTGACTGCTTTCTTCATCACTCAAAGGACTTGTGTCCCAGGCTTCAGCTTCCAGACTACTTTTCTTTCAAATTAGGCATACTTGTCCTATTTCGTAGATTGGGGGATGAAATGACACAGAGGCAAGTGAGCGCCCAACAAAGTCTTTATTAACAACATACATATTTATCTAATTGATTTAATTGGTGTCATAGTAGCACTACCGGGCAAAGACCACAGTAAGGTGACAACAGCCTTTATTGGCACTTGATCTTCACAATCAGCTCTGCTCTGCTACTTCTCACTGAGTTGTGACATTGTCTCTTTTGGTGACGAGGACCGGGAGAGAGGGCGGTCCCGGTCCCGTTGTGCATTTTCCGCCTCCTCCAGTAGAGGGGCGGCGGCGGGCTAGGCGTCCAGCAAAACAGCGGCTTTGATGCCCTGGGCGCGCGCGGCAGCGGGGAGGGGCGCGGGAGGCGGGTCGCCAGCGGGGCGGGGTGTGTCCGGCCTCGCGGTCCCTCCGCCCCTGGGTCCCGCCGCCACACGCCGCTGAAACTCTGGACCAGGCGCGCTTTCCTCCCCGTCGTCCCTCGCCGTGACCAGAGTCGGGCACACACCATGTCGGTCGCGGTCAGCAACAGGTTCCAAGGTAGGCGCCTGCTGTCCCAGCGCTGTTCCGCGCTCGGCGTCCCCGAGTCGTCACCTGTGCGCGCGGCGCGGCACGCGCGGTAACTCGGAGGGGTCGCGTGGCCCGGGAGGTCGCCTCGCTTCCCCGCCGCCTCTTTGTCTCCCGCAGGAGGGAAGGCGTTCGGCTTGCTCAAAGCCCGGCAGGAGAGGAGGCTGGCGGAGATCAACCGGGTAAGCCGCACCACCGCGGGGTACAGCGTACGGGTTCCTTGTACCCCACTGTGCCACCCCATTCCCCCAGACAAAATCAGCCCCTTCTTCCCCCATCCCTGGCCTTCCCCAAGTACATCTCTAGCCCCTGCCGTGTGGCCTCCAACTCCAGGTAAGTCCACTCCACCCCTTAGCTCTTTGCCTGGCGGTCTCCGGTTGCAAGTTGTAACTCTCTGACCAGGGAGGTGGGGCTGGTGAAGGAGCCCGGTGCAGGCGGGCAGGGGCTTCTCGGGAGCTCACTGCGGACCACCTAAGGGTTTTGGCGCCAGAAGGGACCCCCCTGGGCTAGCGCTGTCTCCGTGGACGAACCACAGAACTTAACACTGGGGGTTGGCTGGCAAATGCTGGCATTTCCCCGTCGCCTCCCACCTCCAACCCCAACACACAGCTCTTTTTCACCAGCTTTTAGAAAAGTTGCCCGAGGGACTGCTTTTTTTTTTTTTTTTTAACCGGCCCGGGGAAGTTCTAGAAAGAAATCCTTCCGCTGCTGCCAGACACACAATAGCAGCTCCGTAAGTTTGCTACTGAGCGTGTAGATCCCAGAAGATAAAGAAAGGTGTCAGGGCCTCCTCGATTGGCAGAGCCCCAGAGGTGGCACAGTCTGTAGCTTTATGGTTCTCAGGATCCGGGTTCAGACATGACAAGTGTCTTCAGTAAGGGTTTCTCACCTACCACAGCGTCGCTTTATGGGCTCAGTAAGGCAGGGAGCTGGCATGCTCTAGGGTCTAGCTTTAGGGAGATATCTCTTAAGTGTATTAGAGATTTCTCTTTTCCTTTTTCTTTTTTGCTGTACTGAAGACTGAATCTGGGACCTTCTACATGCTAGGCAAGCAATCTACCATTGAGTTGTTAATACACAGGGGCGCAGAGGTAGCCCACTGACATAAGGCCCTTATCTTGCCCCTTGGGTCTCTGGATACCCAGGGGGACAAGCTGCGGGTCCCTGGTGGAAAGCTGGGTCAGCACACTGGATGTGGGGGCTGTGATGCGCTGAAGTATTTCCTCCCGATTCCTTTCTCTATTCCCAGGCATGCACTGCCTAGACCTAGGTAGGCATGTCTTCTACCCACCAACTCCAGGAGCCCCTGGAGGGCTCTGGGCCCTCTTATACTGTTCCTCCGTTGCTTGCTTGCCTCTCGCTGTTTGTCTTAAAGCATGGATTCAGGAGCTATTTACATCTGGCTGGGCTTGGGGCGGGCCTGCTGGACTTCTGGAAGGTCCCTCGGCACCACCCCGCCTTGGCTGCTTTTGCTTTCTGAACAAGAACCTGGGACCATGACCTCATACAACCCCCTCCTCCCCAACTTTGTTAGGCAGGTTCTGAACTAGCTGACCCACCTGTAGCCAACAAGACCCTAAACCCAATACCCTAAACCAGAGTCAGCTGGAGATGGGCTCTAGGTGACCTTAGTTAGAGGAGTCGAAAGAGCTGAGACTTTGGGATTATCTGCGCTGACCCCACCCTTGAGGATCCAGGCTTGGAATGGGGTGGAACAGGACAGGTGACTCAAAAAGGGGAGGGCCTGTTGCTGCCAGGGGCTGAATTGTTGACCGTACAGGCACTGTAGAGGGTGGGCTAGTGGGAACTGATCTAACCACTTCAGGATATCAGATACCTGGAGAGGGCAAGTATCTGAGCTATTCCATTCCACAGCTCACAACCTAGGGTCTCTCTGCTGCAGGATGCCGTTTTGAGATCATCTGTGTGAGCTTGGGTGCTATAGGGCTGTAGTGTAACCCAGAGTATGGGTCCCTAGAGGTTTATGCTAGATGGTTGAGCAGCTCCCGTGGTACAGCAGGCCAAGGTGACTACGGAATAGGCAGAGCCAGGAGGCAGGCTGCCAAGCATTGGCTCTGTGAGTTTCAGGAAACTGCTTCCCCTCTCTGAGCCTCCAGGGCCACAAGAGATAATGGTAGTGATTTCCCCCCAGTCAGATGATGTTTGTGAAACGCACCGAGTTGACGGCTGTGAGCATCATCGTTGGTTTGTGTCACGTCTCCAGGTATAAGGAGTGGGCATGGAGGTATGCCAGGGACATACCAGCTGCTCGCTCTTCCCTGCAGTGGGAACAGGGGGTCCACAGTCAATGGAGAAGGATCGACTCAAGAATTTTGGGTGGCTCTGCTTGAGAGTCCCAGTCTGGTTGACTCTTGGCCGTGACTGCCATGAAGTGTCCTCAGAATGCAATATTCTAGAGAGCTGTGTTGGCAGCGAGTTGTCTTCCTTGGAGAACACCTTCACTGCCCTGCTGGACTGGGGATTCTGGGGCGCTGAGCTGTGCTGTGCTGTGCAGTGCCAGTTGGCCCCATATAAGCCAGAAACCGTACAGGCATGACTTCATGACTCATGACATGGGAGTTGTGTGACCAGCTGTTGTGCCCATGCGCATGGGCACCCCCAGCTGCTGTCTGGGGCAGGGCCCAGCCCTAAGGAGACTTTCTGGACCAATACTCTAGTTTCCTATAGGGCTTTCCCCCTTCCTTGGGGTGGCTGTTTGCACGCGGCAAAGGTTGCTCAGTCTTAGCAACTCTTATCGTCAGTGAGTCAAAGTCTAACACCGATGGGGCTGGAGGACAGCGAGGGGCAGAGGAGGCAGGGAGTGGCATGTAACACAGCTGTTTAGGGGTTCACTTTAGTTTCTTCAAAAATTATTTTTGCTGCGTGGTGGTGGCACACACCTTTAATCCCCGCACTTAGGAGGCAGGGGCAGGTGGATGACCTGGTCTACAGAGTGAGTTTCAGGACAGCCAGGGAATTCCTGTTTCAAATAAAAATAACAATAACCAAAAATATTTTTAAAATTCCATTAACTTATTAGTGTATATGTAAGTGTGTGCAGCATACACACCGTAGGCTGAGTGTATGTGTGTGTGTGCGGCATACACACCACAGGCTGAGTGTGTGTGGAAGTGTGTGTGGCATACACACCACAGGCTGAGTGTGTGTGGAAGTGTGTGCGGCATACACACCACAGGCTGAGTGTGTGTGGAAGTGTGTGTGGCATACACACCACAGGCTGAGTGTATGTGGAAGTGTGTGCGGCGTACACACCACAGGCTGTATCTGGAGGCCAAAGAACAACTTGCAGGAGTCAGTTTTCCCGTTCTACCACGTGGGTCCCAGGGACTGAATTCAGGTCATCAGGCTTAGCAGCAAGCAACTTTAAGCACTGAGCCATCTCAAGACCCTTGTTTTGATTTCTGCGATCATTTTCCTGGCTCCTTGGGGTGTGCTGGCACTGCAGCAGGCAGGCGGAACACCCTCTCTTAACTGTGCGATGTAGACACTGTCATTCCCATTTTATGACCACCAGGCTCAGAGAAGTTGAGTTAATTGCCTAAGATGAATCAGCCCCAATTTAGCCAGAGGTGGCGGTGTGTGCCTGTCATCAGAGTAGGCAGCTGGAGCAGGAAGGAGGCTTGAGTGCCAGTGTGTCAAAATAAAACAAACAAACGAAAAACCAGCCACAGCGGGACTCAGACTGCATACATTTGCTTCAGCTCTGTGCTTCAGTGACCCCTTCTGTGGACACCCAGCCCCCTTCCACACTCTGTGTGTGTGTGTGTGTGTGTGTGTGTGTGTGTGTGCACTACTGGAGCAAGCTGGACCAGGCAAGTGCCTCCTACTCCCTCCACATAGCTGGCATTCCCCACGCCCTGATGGCATGGTAGGTGACCCCAGGCCAGTCAGGCCCAGCCTTATATGGCAATGGGAGAAATTTCCTCTGTCTTCCCATAGGAACCTAAAGAAACCAAGGGGGTGGGCTGGCTACCCCTTGGAGTGCCTGAGCACTGGAGATGATCTGGAGGAGTTGGGGGGTGGGGTGGGGGGCTACCATTTGAGTTTGTGATTGGTCAGGATCTTTGAGGATGTGAGTGTGGCAGTGTTCCATGCCTGTCATTCATCATGCATCAGCTCGCAGGTCGGGCTCAGTGGACCTCTCTCTCTCTCTCTCTCTCTCTCTCTCTCTCTCTCTCTCTCTCTCGTCTGTGTCGGGTATGCAGAAAGAACCCTGAACATTCCTCTGAGGCAAGGATGATATTCCTCTGAGGCAAGGATGATAATACCCACCTTAGAGATGAGGGATTACAGGGCCCAGCCTAGCGAAATCACCTGCCCAGATCCCTCAGCCAAGGAAGGGCTCCTCGGATGAGGTCTGTCTTAACTCCAGACATCAGCCATGGCCTGCTCGGGCCCCAGTCCACCAGAGGCTACAGCTTTGTGGTAGCCCAGGCCTCCCTTGCATATATAGGATAAGGATCTCTGGCTACTGTCTTCATGTCTCAGCCTTCCTGGGTCAAGTGAAGGACACTGCGTTCCCTGTCCCTTAGGAGCCCACTGGTTATCTCAGTGGTCCCTTGCCACCTGGGAAGGAAGCTGGGAGGGTGCAGGATGGGACGCAAGGAGATCTCAGATGTTCAGGGTGATTATGTCTCCCGCCTGCGCTCCCAGTCACGTGGGGCCTCTGAGACTTGACCCAGGGACGGTGCAGGTGTGCCTTTTCCTGTGTCCCTGGCAGTACCACTCTGTCCTTGCTGGTTGGCATTGAGGGCATTCGTCTCTCTTGCTCGTCCCTTAATATATTATAAAGGAGATGCTGATAAGGGGTCATGTGAGCCTCTGGGGATTCAGTGTCCCCTGCAGGTCTGGCCAGTTGTGACCTTGCTGTGGCGTGTCACAGGCAGCTGGAGATGGAATTTCTGTGAGGTCTGCTTTATGTGTGTGGTCACTGGGGTGTTTTTCTTTAGCTGCCCAGCTATTGGCGAGGACACTGTGTCCGGATAAGGCTCCAGGAGTGCCCTGGGGAATGTGAGCCTGCTGTCTTTGTGGGTGCCTGTTACAGGTTCCTGCTGCTCACCAGGTGCCAGGCTGGGCATTTGTGGCCTGGCCCTGGCCCTGTGAGAGCCTGTGGGCTGTGTCAGAGGCCACAGGATCCCAGCGTGGTGCTGCTTGTCCTTGG